CGCTTATTTACAGAATCTTCTCAGACTGACCAGTAGTTCCCAGGGACAAGTCTCTACTATCTTCTGGAATGTTTAGGAATGTCCCAGCTTTCTCCGTTTATCTCCAGAGCGTTGCTCTGGAGACAAGAGCACCGTTTTCACCCCCCTTCCTCCATTCCAGTCCACCACATCCCCAGAGGAAAAGCCCTTCCCTTTCACACACCGTAGTCCACTGTCATTTTATACCAGATCTATATTTCTACAATCTTAAAAAAAATGTTACTAAACATCTTGTACCATACCCCAAAGGAGATGATGAGTCAGGTATTGGCTGGATTGTATGCCTTCTAATGCTACTGTATGCAGAAAAATATACTGCATTTCTCCAATGGAATCTGCCCAACCACTTTGATCCAAACCACTTTGATTCTAACCATTCCCAACTACTGGGAGAGTAGCTGGTGGTCCTTCATTTGCAGGAGGTTGCTTTCCCATTGTTGGCCTGGTCCTCTGGAATAGCCTCCTGTGAGAAGTGTGTTTGGCCCCAACTCTGGTCAAAACTGCTTAAAACAAAGCTTTTCCAGAGGGCATTTGGGGGCTGACACCAAATGCCTTTTCGAGTTTAGGTTTGTCTGTTTTGAATGTTGGCTTTATTTTATAACATTTCTATTTTTATTGTTGATTTTTTTAAATGTTTTGAGCCACCAAGAGTCTGTGTACAATTGTGGGAGTGTATAAAAATGATATATAAATAAATATATAAATAGTAATTATGGCTATGCTATTTTGGGAGCTTTGTTTTGCTTTAAAAATGGGAATCACTCTTTATTTTTCTGTCAGAAACAGTCAGAAGAGATGACTAGACAACAGACTGCCATTTGGGATCTTCTGAATTCTGCTAAAGCATCAGTATCTCAAACAAAAAGTATATTTGAATTGCTCCAGAAGAGTAAAGAGGTAATTTTGAAATAATGAATGTTTTTATTTGGCTGAAAAGAGAGAAATAACATTCACGTTATGATGGAAATAAGAATATACTACCAATAATGACTTGGCTTTGTAGATAATAGTAACTGCTTGTAAAATACAGGAGCTGTTACTACTCACTATATGAAAAAAAGTCATCTCTAGCTAATCTCCTACATGTAACCTTCATGCTGAGTTCCAAAGCATCCAGGCATTAGGGTTTATACAGGAAATTAAAGCATACAAAAGCTTGCCACTTATTTCTTATGGCTATATAATGCTTCTTAGTCAAATGCATAACACTCTCTTCTAATTCCAGGAATATGAAAGCCTTGTTGCCCAATTGGATGGAGCAAAGAATGATCTGGATGAGAAACTGAAGAGTAATTTCTTATCGTCCAGTAAGGAACCTTTGGTAGTGAGAGCAGAAACATATGCCAACTCTTTACAAGACCTGGCAAGAAAGTTGGTTGAGTATGTCTTCAATTCTGTAAATGAATTGTTTCAGAATAGTTTGTTTCTTGCTTGAATCATATTATACATTGGACATCGTTCCTTTTAGGTGGAAAGGTAAACTATGTGCTTATGCTGGAACTGATTTAAGAGAAAGAGGGAGATTTCGGCAGGGATGAACAACATTTAAGGGGTTGGGGACCACAATTGAGCTTCCTTGCAGAGGGACCCAGAATGCTATCTAGTGAGCGATGATGTTGCCAGTATGGCTAGAGCAGAAATTTTGAGGCCAGTGTTTTGGAGAGCTGGCAGATTCTAAGAGTGGGTAGACAGATGCCTTAGTTTGTCTAATAATACGTTGAGTCTGCTAAAGAGAAGGGCCTGTGTCACCATCCTTATCTTTGTATCTTCTGAGGCTCATTAGGTAGCAGTTTTCACTGGTGGTCCTTGCCCAGTGCTTATTATAGGAATATTCCCCTTAGGTGGGATCAGTAAACTTAACTGGGTGCTGCATCACATTCTTTATATTTCTCTTCCCCTTGGGAAATTGCCAGAATTTTTTTTTATGCCATTTGGAAATGATTGTTCTCTCCTCAGGTGTGGGAAAGCAGTGGTATGCTTCTTATAAGGATAGCAGTTTTTTGACATAGTTGCTAGTTTTTCAGAAAAGAATAGGCAGCCCAATTTTTGACTATTTGTATGTCTGTATGGGACAGTTTGAACTCGCTAGGCATGCTTTAAGCAAAGTTAAGTATGTTTTATACTGATTTCAGTATGAAAGATAATGTCAGGTTCAGCCTAAAGAACTCCAAGAGACAATGCAAATACAGTTCTGTTGTGTTTATTAGCTACAACCTCCAGGCAGAAAATCTCCCCAGACTGAACCCTAGT